TTATGACGACTGGGTTCTCGGTTTGCGATCCTGTATGATGCAATGCGCGTAAGTGATTATGCAAACGGTGCATCGAAGGAGATGAATGCAATGGATATGTTTAAATGCAAGGTAGTCAACATCATCCACGAAACTATAATACAAGCACATGTCATCTACTGCATTCTCTTCTACTACTAATATGTTAAGTTAACCTATCTTATGAAATGCTTCAAAGATACACCAAAGCTTTACTAATTTCTTAATCACACTTAAAGCGACACTTGCTTAAACCCTAATTAATAATAGGTTTGAATAGCAACATATATTTCTGATGCTCCTAAAATCTGAGAAAATTACAGTAGCATAATACTACTCTAAACAGACTACCATAAAAATTTCATGGCATTTGGATAAGTAAACTATCCTACACAAAATGACAAGCTATAGCATGAAAATGAGCATGAAATTACTTTGTACTATGAAAAGTGTCAAACAACAGAAATAATATTTTTCCTAGGTTCTTCATAGCATATAATGGCTGTACAAAAATTATCACATGCATGTTTTATACAAAATTTGTGCCCTAGCAAAAATAACAAAAATCAGCCATTAAAAGTACTTGAACTACACCTCAAAATTTTTCCACAGAACATGCATGAAATATATTTTTCCTAGGAAGTACATGACATAAGAAGATGAACAAACTTGAAATCATATTTTTCTGAAGCCTATATATTTCTATACCCATTTTTCAAGTTATCAGCAATATTCAAGATTAAATAAAATCCTATAGAAAAGTATCCCAAAAATGACATGCAATAATTTTCCCTAGTAGATCTGGTAATAAGGAACCTAGAAAAATTTGTTTCAACAAATTTGGAGCAAATTTGACCATCCAAACATTTTTCAAACCATTTTTGATTTCAAATAACAAATAATAAATAGAAATCGATTCATTTAAATGCTACTGGGCCGGCTCATGAATGGAACTGGCCCACGGCCATCACCGCCTCTCGCGCCCCAAGCGCCGAGGGAGGGGAGTCGGCTGCTCGGGGCTCTCCCACACGGCCACTTGGCTCTGCCTTACCGGTGGTGAGCGAGGCAGAGCATCTTGGCCGCTATACCGGCACGGCGCATGCTGCTTCGCCACGAGGCCGGCGGCCATCTCCGGCCGAGGCAAGGCGGGCTAGCGGGCGCATGCGACGCGCGAGAAGATGGTGGAGAGTCGGTAGGGGCAGCTAGGCGGGCCGGAGAGAAGAGGAGGAAGGCGACTCCCCATGGCGGCCGAAAGCACGGCGCAAGGCCATGGCCGTCGGTGGCGTAGACGTGGGGAGGCGTACCAGGGCTCGGAAGGCGGAGAGTAAGCTCAGCGTGAGCCAAAGGGAGGCGAGGCGGAGCTGCGGCGCGATTTAATTGAAGAATGGCTCGGTGGTGAGGGAGTTAGACGCCGGCGGAGCTCGGGCTCATGCATGAGGGCGAGGGAAAAGCAGCAGGAGGAGGGGGGCAGAGCGCGCGTGCGGCCGCAGCAGCAGCGCGCGCCTCTTTCAAGTCCGCCAAGATCTGGCTGCTGTGATCGAAAGCTAAGCCGGGCGGGCGGGCGGACACGCGCGGCGTCGCCCCGACGCGCCGGGGACGTGGCGCTGCGCGACGGCACGGCACATGGAGAAGGCGCGCGCCTTGGCCAGGCAGGCCGGCCGGGCAGGCAGTCTTGGGCTGAGCCGCGGCGAGGCATGCGCTGCTGGGAGCTCGCTGGGCCGGCTTTGTTGGCGGGCCAGAAGCGAGGCGGCGGCCCAGGAAAAAGGAAATGAAGATTTTCAATTTATTTTCAAGAGATTTTAAATGCCATCTTTCAAACATTATTTTGAGCAAGAAAATGACCTCTTTTGAAAATGTACCAAAAATGAAAGTTGCTTAGAATTTAATTACCTACAACTTTGCTTTTATGACCAAAGTCCAATTCTATCTAGATTTTAAATTATCGAATCAAAGTTAAATTTTAACTCAAAACCCTAATTTTGGGAACTTACTTTGGAAGTAGAATTTTAAATTAATTTGAATACAAACCTTGCTCCAAAAATTGTGCTAAACCATTCTAGATGATTTATAAGCATAACCAACAGCTTTCTACTCAACTAGCAAGCAAGAATCGAGCAAAACAACCATAATAAGTGTATGTACCATTTACGTTTCACAATCATGTTTCGTATGTTTCGAAGAAATATTTCAGTTATTATATGCAAGATTATGCATGTATGATTAGGATGCTTGATGATGCATGATATGCATGATTTGCAGTGCCTAAATGTAGGCATAACACCGGGGTGTTACATCCCCACCAGTCTTTTCTGCCCACTCTGTCCTCACTCATGTGCCCCCGAAAAAAACTTCCCGGACGGTCACCCATCGCTCCAGGCCAAGCACGCTTAACCTTGGAGTTCTTAAGAGATGGGCTTCCAGAAAAGAAGTTGCAACTTATTGGTACGAGTATCCTATTAATCCTATTAAGCCCTGGGCCGAGGTGTTACAGTGAGGAAAATTTGAGCTAGGGTTCCTAGAACACATAAACTATATATATGATTGTTCAGGTTTGGGCAAAAATACCTATGTTGAGCTTCTTTGGGCCTAATACTCGCATGACAGCTCAAATAGTCGGGTTTCCCAATGGGTAACGGGGACGGGTAAACAGGAAACGTTCACGTACCCGCTATACCCGTCGGGGATGGATTCTTGCCTATTTAGATGCCCGCGGGTAAAGATATGGTCCCATCCCTGTCTTCTAATGGATCAAATACCCATCGGGTATCGGGTATCGTGGCCCCATTGCCATCTTTAATTTCAAGTACAAACCTATACGTACTGCGCGTACGGTAAAATTGATTACCCAACTCGACGGCAAGGAATAAACGCAATCTGCGAGATGCGATTCTTTCATACCTGATATAGGATGCCAATTTGATCTACCTCACATGATGCGTAGGGCAGTGGTTAGTAAATACATACCGCGTAGGGCGTTTGTCATTGTCGTAGAGCTGCTTGCTTGATGACGATGGTGTCTGTCGATGCAGTGCAAATTAGATGCAGGTAGAGGTTGCAGATCTGTTCCGCTAACAACGTCAGGATGTCAACGTCGTCGTCGAAGTAATCGCGGCGAGACATTGGTACAAGTGTCAATGTCGACAATCGGCGGCGGCTTCAATGACGATGTCAACGTAGAGCTTGTCGTGCTGATAACGTGTTATAAAATATGTTGCCAGTAGTTAGGATATTTCCCTCTCTGACTCTGATGATCAATATAGTAGATGAGAGTAGAACACATAGACACAAGAGATAGGGAGGCTATTCTTTATTTCTCTGAATATTGATGATTACAACATAGAGCTCCCACGTATATATAATTCTGTCAAGGTCTAAGAGTTTTGGTAAGAGCCCACATACAAACAGACTAGGATCAGGATTTCCCTTTCTCCTTTTCTTTTATGATAGAGTCCGTATGTTTTACAACAAGTATTAGGACATTTTCCTCTCTGTCTCTCATGATCAGCATAGTAGATGAAAGTAGAACACATAGACACAAGAGGTAGGGAGGCTTTTCTTTATTTCTCCGAATATTGATGATTACAACTTAGAGCTCCCACGTATATATAGTTCTGCCAAGGTCTAAGAGTTTTGGTAAGAGCCCACATACAAACGGACTAGGATCAGGATTTCCCCTTCTCCTTTTCTTTTATGATAGAGTCCGTATGTTTTACAACAAGTATTAGGTACAGATACAGATTTTAGAAGATGGCTAAATCATGGATATTAAAATCTATTTTTGGCTAATCTCTTGGAATTGCCAATATAGGCGTTGCTGACTCTTATATCTAAGCATGCCTTGAGGCCCATAACAGTTGCAGCCCATGATAAAGGTTTTTTATTCTCCTAAAAAAATATCTACTTCCTGGGGATTTTTGTTTTGATAAATACTTCCTGGGGAATTTATTCGTTTATTCTATTAATGGATGTTTGGTTTGAGAAAACATTTCATCTAAAATCGAATGATCCATCATGGACCATCCTATGAATTTTGGGGGAGAAACCTATTGCTCAACCTTAAGCTAATCACGAGCACGTGAGGAGCATGGAGCAAGGAGTGAGGTGTGACAGGTCGTTCCATTCAACTCTCCAAGTAACCAAACAAAGATATAAATAGTAATAAGATGTGCTAACAGGGCCACCTTTTACCTCTAAGGCTCTAACCAAACGCCCTGTAGCAAACACGTTAGTCAGGCAAAATGGTGGAAACAGGCCAAAAATCATCTTACAACGCTGCCGCACTAGTGATCGTTTTTTTCCCTGTCAGTCCGGTTCGTTAGCTTCAACATTATCTATCATCCGTGACAAAGTCCCAGAAGGCGGCACCGTTCCAAGCATCTGGTCCATATATACATGCATGACAAAAGGCCCAAATAGCTAGACGCCTGCTCTGTTGTCTACTGCGACGACCCTGGGAGGTCAAATTTTCGTTTTCCCTTGATGCTGCCGTTTTACACAACGCATTACACAAACACAAACAAGCATTTCTGTATGGGAACTTTTCGCTATGGCAAGAAAACATCAAGGAAGGCATATATCCTGTTCCACCAAAACATGTAGTATAGTGGTGTGCTGCAGAAACGTGCGACGCACCGTCTTGGCCACTCACCAGGATATGGGCTTGAACGGTGCGAACACTGCCACCGAGTTGTGCCCACCAAGGCCTCATTCGGCTTACCTTATAATCCGCACTATTCAGCTTATTTTTTTAGTCGGAACAGTATTTTTCTTTCACAACAATTCAGCTAGAACAGTATTTTTCAACCAGTTCAGCCAAGTTTCAGCAAGCCAAACGAACTGGAGATACCTGCATGCCAGAGGGAAGAATTATTCATCATCACTAACAGTACCAGGGTCCAGGGAGGGATCGATTCAGTTCTGCACGTATGTATTGACGGTTCGGCACTCACCGACGTGTACCTCGTGCCGCTGTTTCACCCCACTCACCGTGTCAAATTCTCCGAGACTCCAACTGCCGGCTCAGGATTCTGCAGCCGACAGAGCAAAGCAAAAGTGCTACATATCACGTACAGACATCACATTGTTTGTATATAATTGACCACGTTCGTCTCGTTGAAAAAACAAACCGAAATACTGTTTCGGCTGATTTGTTGCAAGAAAAAGCACTATTCTGACTAAAAAAATAAACTGAAAAAGACGGAATATAAGAGAAGCGAACAGGGCCAATATAATAAAAAAGTCAACAAGATAGAAATTCATTCAACGCTGGATCTAGTTTCTCGCAGGATCAGTAACTTTGAAGACGTAAATTTACTATACTCGTTGCAAACTTACAAATTGGTTTATAGTCGGATGCACCCAGCCGGTGGTTATGGCTTTGACGGTAGCAATGGCTTCCAGCCCGCCGGCTGCGCCAAGGCAATGCCCGATCATGGACTGCGAGAGGAAGACACCGACACAGACATCAGTTGCGCCATCATGCACGGACCTCAAGCCAAATTGTTGCAGCAAAAACAGATAATCATCATGTGCAACCGTGCACCTTGGTCGCGTTCATTTTGATCTGGGACGGGTTCTTGAACACCTGCTTCAGTGCCTTCACCTCTGCCAGGTCCCCGGCAAGCGAGGAGGTCGCGTGAGCGTTCACGTAGTTCACCTGCAGCGAATGCAGATTCAGTGGATGGATCATCACCCACCTTTCACAACAATGCAATGGGCGAAGCATTTCGGCAGGCACCCTATTACCTCCTCCGGCGCCACGCCGGCGTCTTCCAGGCTCCGCCTGATGCACGCCACCGCGGCACGGCCGTCGGGCCTCGGGTCCATCAGGTGGTGAGCGTCGCAGCTCGCCGCGCCACCCAGGTACTCCGCGAGCATCGGGGCGCCGCGCCGCCTCGCGTGGTCGAGGCTCTCCATGACCTGACAACCAAAGCATCATCCATCCTCGTCATCAGCTTGCAGCGTGGCACGAGCCGCACGCACGGCACGACGAAACATTAGCGGCGAGCACAGACGCACGCACACGTTCCCTCGAGAGCGCGGCGGCGGCGCGCACGTACCAGTATCCCGGCGCCTTCGCCCAAGACGAAGCCGTCGCGGTCCCTGTCCCACGGCCGGGAGGCCGCGCCGGGGTCGCCGTTCCGCCGCGACAGTGCCCGCAGGGCCGCGAACCCGCCGAGGCAGACGGGCGCGACGGCGGCGTCCGCGCCGCCGGCGACCATGACGTCCGCGCGGCCCAGCCGGATCTGGTCGGCCGCGCTGTGGAGGCAGTGGTTGGACGTGGCGCAGGCCGTGGAGATGGAGTAGTTAGGGCCAAGGAAGCCGATCCCAGCGTCGATGGAGACCAGCGCCGACGCCGCGTTGGGCATCGCGAACGGGATGGTGCAGGGGGAGACTCCCCTTGGCCCCTTCCTCTCGAGGTCCTCCACCCCGGCCGAGAATGTCGTAGCGCCGCCGTTGCCGGAGCCCACGACCACGCCGGCGCGTTCCTTGTCGATCTGCGGACCGCTAAGATGGTTAGAATAGATTGGTGGGGTCGGCAAAGCGGTGAGCGAACCGCGTGCGTGGCGTGTGATCGGCCGACCTTGTACATCGCTCTGGAGACGAGGGCGAGCCCGGCGGGCGCGAGGGCCTTCCTGGCGGCGACGAGGGCGTAGCTCTGGCAGTCGTCGAGGCAGCGGTCGCTCTCGCCGTCGATGTGGCCCTCGCAGGAGAAGCCGCGGATCTGAGCGGCGAAGCGGGTGGGGAACCCGGAGGCGTCGAAGCGGTCGATGGGGCCTGCCCCGCTGCTCCCGTCGAGGAGGCGGTCGTAGTACGCGCCCACGTCGTTGCCGAACACCGACACCACGCCCATCCCTGTGATCACCACCCTCTTCTTCGGGTCCGACTCCCGCCGTGGCGCCCGCGCCATCGACACCGAGACGCAGCGGGGCAGAGGTTGCGTGCGCGGTGGCAGGTCGGCCGCCGCCGCTGCCACGGCCATGGCGTCGGGGAGGACGAGGGTTTGCATGGCTACGGCGGTCGGGAGGTTTTGGGTGCACGCACGACCGAGCGGAATCAGGTGAATTGCACACGTATATGCGCCGTTAACTGGACTCTGGTCCCACTGGAAGGAATGAAGAATCAATTAATGAACCAAATAAAAATTTCCCAAGTGATCGAGAATTCGTCTTTCTTTACCAATCCTAAGTTGAGCTGATTGCAGTACCGTGCTCAATGTGGCACTAACTGAAAAAAAGATTGATTATGAGAAGCATGATAAGAGGATCTCTACTGCAGATTGTATCTATTTTAAGAATGGAAAAAGTTAAAGGATGGTAGTTTATAGAGAAGGATCCAAGACTAATCAAAATAGTGGTGTGGATCTAAATTTTTCAGCCTGTTCGTTTCGTCGTAAACGATCGTAGATTATTTACTGCTGGCTGGTTTGGTGTGAGAGAAAAATATTGTTCTAGCTTACAATCCACGATCGTATACGAGCCAGCGAACATGTTGTTTATATTTAGAAGAGTTTCACTCCCCAAATCCAAACAAATCCACCTTTCCCTTTTTTTCCTACTGCCATAATTCTTTTTTTCTTCTCCATATTCCCATGGATGCAGTGCAATTTGCAGGCAACCCTCGGGTTTCAGCTTGATGATCGTCATTTCTCGGAAAAAAACCATCGCCTCAGCACAAAATCGTGTTTTTTTAAGGCACAGCACAAAATCGTGTTATCTCGATCTGTCGGCGGTTGTATATGGCGAACGAGCATCGTGTGCATCACCAACCATGTTCCATCTTCGAAAGCGCTGATCGGAAGGTGATTTGTTTAGCAGGGGTGCAAAATTGTAAACGTCATCTCAAGCATATTGACATATTCTATAGGAACCTAATAACAAACGCACGATGCGTACTGAATTGAAAATAACATTGGAAATGGAAGATTTTTATATTTGACGGGGGATATAAACCCATCTTTCGCCACGTTCGCTGGGCTGGTTTCAGCGAACCAGCCGGCTGGTTCTTCTATGGAGATTCAGCCAGTTTCAGCCGCTACAGTATTTTTCTCTCACAACAAACCAGCCGGAACAATATTTTTCAGCCAAATTTCAGACCAGCGAACGGGTCTTTTTATAGAATGCCAAACGGTCACCAGCTTTACAACATGTGTTTTTTTATGGGTACCGTTACAATTCTTCAAGTTTTGTAAATTACCAGTACTATTTACTTATTTGGAACCATGCCATTACAATTTGAAGTAAGCTGGAGCCATGCCATTTTCTATGCTAGCGAAGATGTTAGGACCACCAGCAGTTCGTTGTATTTGCGTATAGACAAAAATACCCCTCCTGCCTCTGTCTCTTTACACTCACTGCGTGGGCCCTACATGTCAGATCCTTCTTCCATCTCAAGCCAGGTCCTTCTTCGATCACGCGCGCGCTCGGTCATCTTTCCCAACCGCGTGGGCCCTACAGGTCAGTCCTTCTTCCATCTCAAGCCAGCTCCTTCTTCGATCACGCGCGCGCTCGGTCATCTTCCCCAGCCGCCGCGCTGGCTGCGCCGCCCCCGCCCATCGCCGCGACGGTCCCCGGCTTTCCCGGCCCTTGCCGCCCACCCCTGCCGTGGCCGACCCGGTGCTCCGTGCAGCATCTTGGTAGTTTTCCTCGCCGGTGCTCTGTGCAGCATCCGCTTCGGACGAGCTCCGCGCCGCGCCAGCCCCGCGCCTCACCACGCCGGCTAGCTCTCGTGCTGCATCCGTGCCAGGCCAAGCTGCGGCCGCCATCTTGAAGTATTTCTCTCTCTCTCTCCCAAACAAATCCACCAATGCGCCGTCCATGGTGACCTCGTGACCTCGGCCCCTGCAGCTCCGGCACCGCGTCGGCGGTGCCCCGGCCTCCGCAGCCCCGGATCCGGCGACCTCGCCCGCCACCGTCCCCGCCCCCGCCGCCCATGGCGTCGTGACCCCGGCACCGACCGGCGTCGCCCTGGCCTCCGCCGTCCCCGTCTCCGGCCCCAGCCCCGGCCGCCCCCAGCAGCGACCACCACGTCGGCTCCCTCATCCCCCGCCACGGCAGTAGCCTGGGACTCGAGAGCGCGCGCCCCTGTCAGGTCGGCACCGTGTGGCCGGCGAGGTGGCGTGTTGACGCCGTCTGCTACACTCTGCTGACTTCTGCGCAGACATGCCCCTGGAGTCCGAGCGGACATGTGTGAGTTGTGACTTGTGAGCGCCACCGCCACGCCACCCCATGCACGCGCTAGCTTAGCTTGTGCCATGCCGCCCGGTGCAACGCAGATGCAACAACTGAAGTCTGGGAGACGTGCCACCGCCACCGCCATGTTCAGCACATCTGCGGTTTAGGTGTCGAGCGGTTGAGAACCCACGGCGGTTTAGGTGACGACCTTCCGTTCTGCTACAGTGCTACTGATGATTGAATAATGGGCCGGACTCCGACCAGGAAGGCCTGCAGTTTGTGGGCTTGTGGCCCGGGTTGTTCTCGTCAACGTGTCGTCAGGCAGGCCTGGATTGTCGAAATGGGCTCGGTCGTGCTTTGTGCTCTTTTTGTTTTGTCTTTTTAGAGCTCGAGTCCTTTTCTCTTTAAATGGCCCTTTCCTTCGTTCTATTTGCGAAGATCTTCTCGCCAAAACTCATGGTTGAAGAGCATATGAAAGTAGAGGGTCACACAGCTTGTGATACATGGCACCAACAGTGGCGGTGCCATTAGATATGGCCTCAGATGATATGAACAGATGTGGAGCTAGGATTTTATCTATGTGGATTGTACGTAATATTTTAGCTTTTAATTTATTGTTAGCTTTTTCCGCATAAGACCGATTCGACAAATCTTGAGATCAATGATGTTGCATTTTAGCTCTGCACCTAGTGCCATGACTAGGTGTCTCTATAGTTGCATCAATGAATAAACAGATGACAATTCAAGCCAGTTTGGTTCCTTTACTTGCCTCGCCTCACCTTGCCATCCCATGATAGCCTTACCTTGCTAGGGTCAGAGAGCCAAATTGACTAGCCTATGGTAGCAAGCACACAGAAACAAGAAAACGTGTCAGATATTTAAACACTCAACTACATTTGATTTCCTTACGTTGGCAAGGTATGGCTAAAGATCCAAACATGCCTGAAATCAACTACACTTGGGGTGACAAATATATGCTAGCATGTTACCTACTATTATATAGACAACAACAAATCCATAAAAGACAGTGATTGTCCATCGGTAGCGGCATAGTACATTGGTTCTATCTAGAATATAATTAAGACCACATGGTAATCTTGTAAATATTTGATGCGCCATTGGTTATAACATGCATCAGCCCAACTTTTTATAAATATAATCTCTTAGTTTTAGCATCGCAGAGGTCACTATTCTCTCCTTATGTAGTTTAAGATCATTTTAATACTTGGTGGTGCATTACTCATATATAACTCCTACTCAGGACATGTTTCATATTTGCAAATCACTCAACACAAATGTTGGTTTGGAGTGCCGCAAAATTGGTTTCATACTCCTAAAGTCCCAAATTATAATTTTACTTTAGAAAAAAAAACACTACTCCATTTGTTCCAAATTATAAGACGTTGTGGCTTTATAGGTACATAGTTTTTGCTATGCGCTTAGATATACGCTATGTCTAGATATATAGTTAAAGCAATGTATCTAGAAAGGCCAAAACGTCTTATAATTTAGAATGGAGAGAGCATCATTCACATGTTCAAATAAATGCAGTACTAGAACATACTTCACAAATATAGGCATATGTGTACTTTCTTTTTCGTATAGACATGACCAAAGTCATTGAATTTTAACTCAGGACAAAATATAAAATATAAACTAATATGGGAATGAAAGAAGTACCAATTTTTCTATGTATAAAGCATATACTCTCCTGTCCCAGAAAAGATGCAATTATATACAGCCTGTTCGGTTGGCTGGTTCGTATCGTTGCTGGTTCGTTTATGTGAGAGAGAAGTACTGCTGGCTGGTTATGATGAACAATGCTTTTGTGAGGGGGCTGGCCAGCCCAGCCCCAGCCAGCCAACCCAACGATCACGCTGATAATAGTTCTAAGTCAAATGATTTTGAAATTTGACCAAAATTATATAAAATGATACCAAATCATCGTAAGTATCCATATATTCGTTGTGAAATATATTTCCAGATATATTTATTTGAAGCGATATACTATTTTATATAAACTTAGTAAACTTAAAAGTGTTTGACTTTCACCAAATCTATAGTTTTTTTTCTAGGACGAAGGTAGTAAATTGGAATATCATCAATTTATATCTGGATTCTAGATAAGACACTAAGAAACTGGATTAATCTGCCTTTTTTTTGGAAGTTATGTACACATATCCGCTAATGCTTGTTCAAATCTAACGGTTCAGAGTAATTCATTCGAGTAAACAACGGCCTTGATCGCTCGTAATGACGCGGCCGAAGGCTTCCAAATCACGCGTGCCAGCACGCTGGCACACAGCAGGGTAAGCGCAAACCCCCGCTTTAACCCGATCAGATCCGCAGCGACTCGGCAGTCCCCAACCCCTCTCCCGCCGCATCACCACCACCTCTCTTCTCTCCCCCCTCGATCTCCAGATCGCCCTCGCAATTCATCCGTGCAGCGTCCCTGCCCTGGGCGAGCTAGAGAGCGCGCGCGCGCCCAGATCTGCGCGGTCTCGCCGGCGATGGCGTGCATCAAGAGCGCGCAGCGGGCGGCGCAGACGGCACTGGCGCCGGACGCGCCGTACCTCGCCGCGGGCACCATGACCGGCGCCGTCGACTTGAGCTTCTCCAACTCCGCCAACATCGAGATCTTCCGCCTCGACTTCCAGTCCGACTCCCCGGACCTCCCGCTCCTCGCCTCCGCGCCCTCCCCGGACCGCTTCAACCGCCTCTCCTGGTCGCGCCCGGGCGCCGTCGAGGGCGACTCCTTCGCGCTCGGACTCCTCGCCGGTGGCCTCAGCGATGGCTCCGTCGCCGTGTGGAACCCGCTGAGCATGATCAGGTCCGGATCCGCCTCCCTCGCCCCGCTTCGCACTTGAGATCTGCTCCCGTTCTGACTGAATTGCATCGCTGTTTCAGCTCCGAGGGGAAAGCGGAGGACGCCATGGTCGCGCGTCTGGAGAAGCACACCGGGCCTGTGAGTCGCGCGGGGCTGGCTAGTTAGTTTTACGCGCCTGGCGTTCTGACGGGGTTGGCGTCGTGTGCTGATTGCGTTTGTGTTCGGTCTGCCAGGTTTGTGGACTGGAGTTCAGTGAGCTCACGCCGAATAGGCTCGCTTCTGGGGCTGAGCACGGGGAGCTTTGCATCTGGGATCTCAAGAACCCTGTTGAGCCAATTGTGTACCCACCACTCAAGGTACTTGCAGTTTTGTACAGAGCTTATTGTCATACAAGAGGATTAAGGATTTGCCCGATTGGTTAATGGTTATTCATGAGATGCATGGTTTCTGCTACTCACGGCTTGTAATGATTCAGTGGTGCTTTTTTTTCCATGGTAAACATGATGCCATCTTGCGTGTTTATGGTGACCCTAGCATGTTTTTTGCCATTCCAGACGGTGATGTTTTGAGTTATATGTAGTAGCATTCTCATGTTTATTTTTCATTCAGTATGAGCAGAACTGGCTACACTATTTGATGCAGGGATGAAACTGAGCGACTTTAAACTGATTGTGCAAGATTATGGTCATCCTTTATGATCTGGATGTTTGCGCCTGTGCTACACTAGTCCGTTGAATGCAAACCAAGTTTTTCCCTGTAGAATCCTTTATATGTTATCTTACTGTGTTTCCATGCTTGTTCTTTCATATGATTGATGTGGGTTGCTGTCAATGAAAAAAATAAAGTTGAGGTTTAGGGCACGTGACATAGTTGTAAAGCAGGATGTGTTTGGATATTTCAGTTATGTCACTATGTTCTGGCTACATTATTCTGTTCAACCTTTTATAGCATGTAATCATTTTTTAAAGTATAATAATTTTAACAGAGTGTTGGGTCCCATGCATAAGCTGAAATCTCTTGTTTATCCTGGAATCCCAAGTTCCAACATATAGTTGCCTCAACTTGAGTAATGGGATGACAGGTAAATTAAATTTTGGTTGATTCTGCAAAAGTTTAGCTATCAGTTACCATCACTTGGACTTCTGATCGTTCTGTCTGACTAATTTTGTTTCCCTGCAGTTGTTTGGGATTTAAGGAATCAGAAACCACTGACTAGGTAATTACAGTAGTTGCTAGAGTTACTTATGCACTTTCAGGATCTTTTTTGATACAATCTATGATTTGGATTGATTAATTTTGAACTGTTGAACAGTTTTTCAGATTCAAATCGAAGGAAATGCTCTGTTCTCCAATGGAATCCAGATATGTCCACCCAGCTGATTGTTGCATCAGATGATGACAACTCTCCCTCACTGAGAGTAATTACCTTTTCTAAATCCCCTTTCCTCTGCACACCCAATCCCCCAAAATAATCTAGTTTACTTACGTTTCTCCATGTAATTTCATAGCACCTATAATTAAATAGACAAAGCTGTTCATTTTCATTTTGGGCTTCTTTAAAAATGACATTCAGTACTTTTTGAAGAAAAGGGTGGTTATGTAGTGATGTTCCATCAAGTTCACATCACACACTCATTCTATTAAGTTTTTTTTTCTCATTTTTATCAGTATCACTGCTCATACACTATTTTCACAGGTTTGGGATGTGAGGAAGACCATCTCACCAGTTAGAGAATTCGTTGGCCATTCAAAAGGTTTCATTTCTCCCCTAATCTTGTTTGTTTCCCATCTATTGCTTGCCAATGTACTTAAATTGCATGTACTTATTATTATATTGATGTATTCTCTTTTGAGCAGGTGTAATTGCTATGTCGTGGTGCCCCTATGATAGTTCATTCTTGCTTACATGTTCAAAAGACAATAGAACAATTTGCTGGGATACTGTTAGTGGAGAGGTATATTACAACTTAAACATCTAAAAGCAAACTGCAGAGATATATTATGTTCTTATTTTCTGAAACAAGTTTTTTCTTACCATCCCCTTTTCATTGTGTTATTTTTTACAGATTATTAGTGAACTACCTGCAAGTGCTAATTGGAACTTTGACCTTCACTGGTACCGGAAAATACCAGGTGTCATTGCAGCATCCTCATTTGATGGGAAAATTGGCATATACAACCTAGAGGTAATGATGCTTATATTTTCACTTAAGAATATATGTTGGATACTGTTCGTTAAATTTATGTGGGTTTGAATATGCTTCAACTTCATTGCACTCAGAACTGTCATCAAGCTTTTGAGACCTGGTCTAGGATTTCCTAATATACCGTGTTAAACATTTATTTCTCGTATAGGTCGATAGTGCTATAGAAGTCATTGGTATCATCGAAGTGGGACATTCTAGTGCTGTTTGTCTTAAGTTACAGCTGGAGAGTATTATGCTATGTTTCTTTTATAAAGTGTTAAAGAGCACATGACACTTTGATTTGTCATTGACGACAGTCGACAGCTGAGCATGTTAATGCTTTTGTTTCGGCTGAGTTTGTGACCTGGAAAATGTGCGATTAGGGCAATAAAGTTCACTAATAGAATTAGTTATCAGACTGGAAGTACATAGTGTATTGTGGGGCATTATCCAGCAATATTTAAGCGCAATCCTGTGGTAACAGCGATCACTTAAGCAGGAAGTCGGGAATTGATGACCGTGAGGTTGTGAATTGCTCAGAAGTTAAGGTGCTCATGCCCCAGTGGAGCAGTCAAATGGGTCCGTGAATGTGTGCATGTGGAAGGAATGAGGTTTGCATAGTGGGTAGCTACATATTGTTTTGAATGTAGATTGTACAGTAAGGTGAGAACACGTGGCAAGGTCCATGGATGCCTGGAGAGAACAGTCGTCAAGCTATTTAGAGATCCAAATCAACCTTATGATTTGTGTATGTGTGTGTGTGTGTGTGTTGGTGGTGGGGCTGCTGAAGGTTAACCGACAAGCGACAATGTGAATTGGAAGGATTAATCTACTATTACGATTGTGCGTTTAAGATTGACTAAACGGGTCCTCAAGCCTCTAAGCTCCATCTTAAGATTCTCTTTTTTATGGGACTTGTTACTAAAAGTTGAGCCGGGACTAGGCTGACTGATTCAGCTTGATTATAATCATATCTTTTGTGCACATATATTTGGCAACCAAATTTCCTCATTTATTTATTTATTCAGTGTGAATTAAATTTTATGCTTGGTCGCATCTTATAAAATGAGTTGGTTGGTTGCACCAGGTTTATTTTATCCATCACTAGTGTATGTGAGTCCGCACTTTCATGTTTACTGCTTGCATAATGCATACAAAGTATTTAATCCCTTTATATATTTATTATCTTTTACAGTTCTCTGGTCTTTATGCGGCTGGTGATACTGTTGGTGCCCCAGGTGAATTAGCATACTGCCTCTTGCTTAAGTTTCTGTGATAGTTAGATACATATTCAGTTAGATTGTTGCCTTTGGTTTTGTGTACAGCCCTTGCATGATCTTAAAGCACTCTTCAACAATATTGACCTTGATCCATCATTTCATAACAAGGACATATGTGATGTTTCTTTCTATGACAATGCCCTTTATATCGGATTTGATTTATGTTTGAGATTATTACTGGCTGGTTTATTTCCCCGCCGCGTTACACTCTGTTAACTGTTCTAGATACTATCTTGCCTGTATTTGGTGAACTGGGTTAGTTGTGGTGACCATTTGATTAAGATTGCTGTTTAGATCTATATAAGACTGTAACTAAGCTGTAAGCACCGAATAAAAAACATCTATTTCTTCACTTTATAGAGTTCCAATTGAACAGCCATACCAGTTAGTCACTAATTATACTAGCGTGCGTACCTTTTCTCTGATACGATTTGTCTGATAAGAACTAAATTATGATCAGCACGTCCAAGGGCTCCGGCTCCAAAATGGTTGAAATGCCCCACTGGTGCATCTTTTGGCTTCGGTGGTAAACTTGTTTCTTTCCATCCGGTGGCACCCACCCAAGGTGCACAAGCATCTACATCTGAGGTAAGTATTCTTTATCAGTGCCCTGCTTTCTGCAACTCTTCAAGTACCTGTGTTTATATTATGTTTTTTATAGGTGCATGTTCACAATTTGGTGATTGAGCAAAGTCTGGTGAGCCGATCAACTGAATTTGAAGCTGCTATTCAGAATGGCGACAAAAGTTCGCTGCGTGCTCTGTGTGAAAAAAAATCACAAGAATCTTTGTATGTACTTCTCCTTTAGTAGAACTGCTCCTGGTGCTTGCATGAAGACTAACTTTATGCGTTGCATGTTTGATCAGATCTGACGAGGAGAGAGAAACATGGGGCTTCTTAAGGATTATGTTTGAGGACGGGGATTTTGCACGGACAAAATTGCTTACTCATCTTGGCTTCAACCACCTCAGGCACCACCTGCAAGTTCAACTGATGAATTGAGCCAAACATTGGCAGATACACTTAATCTTGATCATGCCACAGTAACCGATAATCGGATGCCCAGTTTCTTATTGATAATGGGGATGATTTTTCAACAATCCTCAACCTTCAGAGGCTAGCTTGGCTGAAGAACCAGTTTCTACAAATGATCAACAGATAGAGCAGGAAATGTCTGGAGATGTTGTGCCGTCAGATCCATCAATTGACAAAAGCATTCAACATGCATTGGTGGTTGGAGACTACAAAGGGGCAGTTAACCAGTGTCTTGCTGCTAATCGTATGGCTGATGCTTTGGTTATAGCCCATGCCGGTGGTTCTGCTCTCTGGGAAAGTACAAGAAATCATTATCTTAAGAACAGTATCTCGCCCTACTTAAAGGTTTCATTTTATTCCTGGTTTTGAATATATGTATTTATTTGTACATAGTAATTTTCATAATCACCATTATTTATTGTTATACTGTTTCAAGTATAGGTTGTCTCTGCTATGGTGGGTAATGATTTAATGAGTTTTGTGAGTACCTGGCCACTAAGTTCATGGAAGGAAACTCTTGCTCTGCTTTGCACAGTAAGTGCAAACTACAATTTTTTTTTTGTTCAGTCAGTTTGTGTTTTCTTTTGCCATGTCTTCTAATCTAGAATTACCTTGATGGTGGTTTGACCGGTTTTAACTTTCAAGCTTTGATAGATGGGTCCTAAAGTGGCATTGCATTTTTATTCTTTGTTATCTTGTTTATAGTCACTATAGACTGAACTGATTTGGACGCTGTCCAGTCTGATGTGTTTTTAGCACCATGTTGGTCCTAGTTATGAAAATTTGGCTGGACTAGTAGAGTAGTTCAATAGAAATATAGTTGGCATTTGAAAGGCCTGGCCTGGTTCATTATTTGGGTGCCCATGTAATGGATGACCTCAAAGGCTCAAACCCGAGTAGCAGAGTTAAAACCATAACAGGTAATCTGATATTGCACACATGAGTACTGACCACCATGTTTTTTTGTTGGTGACTGGATGCTTGAACTCATGCTGGATTTCTCAGAGAGGATAAGCTGTATTATCTGACCAGCTCGCAAAACATAACTTTGTCCAAACTCTGTCAAGCTGTAAATAGAACCTTACTGAACAAACTTTAATTACCTGCATTTTCTTAGATTGTTGTTTAGAAAACTGTTTCTCTAACCAGTGGACTGGCTGTCTTCCCAGTGAAACAGTTTTTTAGCTGGGTTGATGACTTCTCATATTCCTTATCTATGGTATAAATTTGATATGAGCTTGTTTATGAAATCAACTTAACTGTGAACTCAAAACAGTTTGCACGGAAAGAGGAGTGGCATATTTTGTGCGACACGCTTGCGTCTAGACTTCTGAACGTTGGAGATACGCTAGCTGCAACCCTCTGTTATATTTGTGCTGGAAATATTGACAAAGCTGTTGAAATTTGGTCCCGCACCTTGAAATCTGAAGATGGTGGGAAGACTTATGTTGATCTTCTCCAGGTACGGTTGCATAATAGTAGTTCACATTCTATAGCATTGCTCCCAAACAGTTCCTAATTGACCACTGTGGAAATGCAGGATTTGATGGAAAAAACCATTACTCTTGCCCTTGCTACGGGCCACAAGAGATTTAGCACGTCACTGTCTAAGCTTGTTGAGAACTACGCTGAATTGCTGGCTAGTCAAGGTCTTCTTAAAACTGCAATGGTGTATTTAAAACTGTTGGGATCAGATGAACATTCGCAAGAGCTGGCAATTTTGAGAGATCGAATTGCATGTTCTACAGAAGGTCGCTCCAAACTAACATCACTTAATTTTGTCTTCCGTTATTCTGTCTTTCATTGGTTTGAAGTTTTTTTTATCCATTTTTTCCGGTCTATATATTTTTTTGCTATGATGTGACCACACATTGTTGAACTGAATGGGTTATGTATTCCCGTTGGTGCATGTGCATGTTGAAAAGTACTGGCCATCTCACACCTTGCACCACTGATCCCATTTAATACTGTAACAAAGTTGTTTTTCATCCTGTTATGTTTGATGTTTTTAATTGTTATTTACTACCAAATATCTCGCTACTTCATTCAGCTTTTGGCTAGCCTTCCATGCAATAACCTTGAGCCTCTATCCAGAACTTGTACATCTAAGATCTGTATAGCAACATTATATTATCCTCTCTTTTTTCCTTATCTTTGTTTAACTTTTCGTTGTTGCTTACATGTAAATGAAGTATTCCTTGGTTTAAATTTGGTGTATCGATTTAATTCCTCCTTTAGCATGTACGCTGTGAATATTCACATTTGAACTTGCAGAACCTGTCTTTTGTTTCGCCTTTTTGTATCCAGAGTAAAGTCACTTTTCTTCATGTTGTTGTCCTGAAATATTGGTAATTACATATGGATTTTATACCATAGTATTTATTAGAGTTTTATTTTGCAGAGAACGATAATGCTAGGAGTTCTATTTCTGAAAGCACCGGCACTCCTTCCCCTTATGTCACAAATCAACCATATACCACCCCAGACCATTCTCAGAATGTTTACCAGGTTCCCTCTTGTACCATCATTTCATACTTAAAATTTGCCATTTGATTTACCAGTTCAATGTTTGCCAGAATAAACTAATACTCCCTAACAAATGTGCCGTTTTAGGTTTTCTTTCTGTCAAACCTTTTCTGTATAAGAGTTACATAGTAGGTTTACATTGTAATATTGATGTTGCTAGGTTCATCATAAAAATAATTTCACAATATTTGAACATATTTAAAATGTCATATTCTCATAAAACTAAAGTCAAAGTGTCATCTTGTAAGGCCGTGACAATGTCTTAAACCTAACATTTGTGATAGTGGGAGTGGCATTTTTGCTCTATTGGTTTTGTAGTATAATGTTCTGACCACTGCTAACAGCAGGTACCTCAACCATACAATTTTCCAAGTAATACATATTCAGAAGCTTACCCACAACAACCTACTGGAGCCTATGGATACAACAACGCATATCAACCTCAACAACCAACCAATATGTTTGTTCCACCTAGCACACCTGCCAATTCTCAGGTATTTGTGATTCAGGAAATCCTTTTTTTTAGCATCACATGTACGTGAACAACCCTATAGGCCAGTTGTGCTTGGAGAAGCTTCTCAGTGGTTTGTAGTTTTGAGTGCCCAGTTCGTTGCAGCAAGTATTTGGTACATTATGTTGGAATTTTTGAACTTATCACCTGTCTCACTTGCACGCCCTTGTGCCATTAAGACTGCAAAATAGCAAATATTTGGTTTCCCTTGTTTTGGTGCTGTGTTTGAACAAAAGAAATGTAATGTTGGATATATTGTGGTATGTCTGAACATGTAGCCCCTCCCCCCCATGTATTTGAAGTTTTTCTTGCTCAAGTGTATGCTACTTTTGAGGGTTGACCAGCAGAATTTTGTCTCATCTGAAGTTAATGAGTGTTTTGTGTCGTTTTCCATTTAAGGCAATGCAAAATTATTACACTCATTGTTTATTTTGACATTTTTTTCGTAGCAACAGCCAGGCCCTTCACCTGTACCAGTGCCTCAGCAAACAGTGAAGACATTTACTCCTGCGAACCCAGCTGGTCTAAAAAATCCTGGACAATATCAGCAACCTAATACCTTAGGTTCCCAGCTTTACACGGTAGGTATACTGGTGACTTATATTTACTAGTATTTCTGTGATATTTGTTCCAAACTGGTCTCTCTGGTCTTAACAGGGTGCTGCAAATCAACCGTATTCTTCTGGACCATCTGCTCCTTATCCAAGCGGACCTCCAACAACATTTCATCAGCCTGTATCGCCTGTTCAATATCAGCCTGCTGCTCCACCAGTATCTTCTTTTGGTCCGAGCGCCCCCGTACCAGGAACAGTCCCTAACCAGATGTTTCCACATTCTGCTGCTACTAACTCAACTTCTAGGTTTATGCCATCGAACAATCAAAGCTTTGCTCCGAGGCCAGGTTTAAGTCCTGCACAGCCCTCAAGTCCGACGCAGGTGCAGGCACAGCCAGCTCCTCCTGCACCTCCGCCGACTGTGCAGACAGCTGATACGACAAAAGTGTCTGGTATGTCGAATGCAGATGCAAGGCTAAAGGCTTCCATCTTTTTGCTGTTACCACTATCTTGTCTTGTTCTATTCTGGTTCCAAGGATTTTTTTTTTTCTGACTCGTGATTTCATATGAGGTCTACCAAATATCTAACACTCTTGTTGTCTTTGCAGCTGAGCTGAGACCTGCAATTGGTACACTAACCAGGCTATTCGATGAGACGTCCAAAGCTCTGGGAGGATCACAAGCAACTCAAGCAAAAAAACGTGAAATTGAGGACAATTCAAGGAAAATAGGGGCATTGTTTTCAAAACTAAATAGTGGCGACATATCTCCAAATGTTTCATCAAAACTCATTCAGTTGTGCAGTGCAATTGATGCTAGTGATTTTGCCACTGCGATGCACCTCCAGGTAGATTGGACGTTGATCTTTTAGGTTCTGTAGTGTCTGTCTTCTCCATGTTCTTTTGAAAGTTTGGATATCAGTTCTTCCTTGACTTCTAACTATCTGCAATGTTGTTGTCAGGTACTCTTAACAACAAGTGACTGGGATGAGTGCAACTTCTGGCTTGCGGCATTGAAGCGGATGATCAAGACAAGGCAGAATTTCAGAATGTAAACCTTGTGGCCTTCTCATGCAGCCAGTTCTGTACACACCTTTTCTGCTGCTTGCCAGAAATGATAGCGTTAGCAGTTCAGAGGGTTCGCCAGCACAGCGGTGTTATCCTGCTTCTTTGTTCTCGGCTCTTGATTCTGCCTAGGCGTGTTGGTGAAATTGGTCTGATACTTCGGTTCTCTTATACATTTCGATAATAGTTTTGGTTTTTGACATCTGCTGTAAGGTGACCTGTTGCCGGGGGTTGTTTATTCTGAATGGTAATTGTAAGAGGGCACTTAGACTGTTATAGCTGGTGGATCACCTTTTTCAATTTTTGCACTTAGAATTCGTCAGTTCGGACATTCGAAGAACTCTAGATGGTCAATACGAGTGACAGTGGCTTGGTTTTTTTTTGTACTGTCAACAGAAATCAATAAATTTCTGTAATCTTGAATCTGTATTGCATGTTGGACGTGCGGATTGTGCTCTTCGCGTAAACCATTTTCTGGTTTACATGTTCTGGCCTATATCGTGTTGTCGTGGTCCTGGCTCCCGGCGGTTTACTATTATTCTGTGAATGGTTATTCATTTCCGCGGCAAGGAGTTTCTTTCGTTGTGGTTATTAGAGCTTGCCGAACCCACTAATCAAATCGTGCTCGTGCTTATTTGAGTTTGGTGCTCCAGGAACCCCCCCCTGCAATAACCTGACGATTAATAGTGGCCATAATCTTCTCTCTTTGGACAACAGTGTGGCAGCAGCCTACAGCACACAGCTACAACCTGGGTCTCGAGCATCCGTGGGACTAGAAACCAAATCAGCATCAGGCCATCGACTTCCACACTGATTGGTACCTTAGCCGGCAAGAACAACAGCATACCCATCCCATTCCACCAAGCTTGAGCTGCTTGAGCTGCCAGTGATGCTTGAGCTTGCTATACAACAAAGAGCTCAACAAGTGAAGAGAAACAATTGCTGGAAAGTAGATACATCTTGTTGGCTTTCAAATGCAACATAGCTTTGGACATATGATATAGCAGTAACTATATTTCTTGATATGATAATGTTTGGTTCAATAGCAGTAACTCATGGAGGATTAACGGATTCTGACAGTTCTCATTCTGAACAGGAGAGCCTGTGAAGATAACAAACGCTGAAGATAGAGTTGGAGCAAGTTCAGAGTGCAACAAAACATCTAGAGGCAGAAGAGATGTCAGGATAGAATGATGAAGTCGAATGTACACTGTTATGCGACCCAAATTCAATGTTTATTTAGTTGTTCTGGATTGTGATGCATTCAATATTATGCAAAAACTATAGCATATCAAGTCTGAGACTATTTTCGTGTTAAATGGTGCTCTTGGACAACGTTACTTCAATTATTGTTAGTCACAGACCAACACTCCGAACGTCACATTAAGAAAGCCAAACAAACATAAACATTCCCTCCTAGCTATTTTATTAATGTGCCTGAGCACCACAAAACAAAAATTATAAGCATCCATGTAACACCCCGGCTCAGGGCTTAATAGGATTAATAGGATATTCGTACCAACAAGTTGCAACTTCTTTTCTAGAAGCCCATTTCTTAAGAACTCCAAGGTTAAGCGTGCTTGGCCTGGAGCGATGGGTGACCGACCGAAAAGTTCTTTCCGGGGGCGCATGAGTGAGGATAAAGTGCGCAGAAAAGACTGGTGTTGGTCTGTGAGGGCAGTCTATGTCCTAGGAAAGCTATCAGATGTAAGCGGGCCTAGCCTCGAGGAGGCGGGACGTTACAGAATGGTATCAGAGACGACCCTTGCGGTTTCACGGGTGCGTGTGTCAGTTGCGCAGGCATGGTGCGCATGGCTGGTGTGGACCCAGAGTGATCACCCAGCATGGCACATGCGCTGGCACTGGACACACGGACGTGGTCAAGAGGGGACGTTCCTGGCCTGGGGTTGATCGACGAGGACGTCGGTCTCCTAAGGGGGTGAGGATGTAATACCCCGGCTCAGGGCTTAATAGGATTAATAGGATACTCGTACTAACAAGTTGCAACTTCTTTTTTGGAAGTCCATCTCTTAAGAACTCCAAGGTTAAGCGTGCTTGGCCTGGAGCGATGAGTGACCGACCGGGAAGTTCTTTCCGGGGGCGCATGAGTGAGGACAAAGTGCGTAGAAAAGATTGGTGTTGGTCTGTGAGGGCAGTCTATGTCCTAGAAAAGCTATCAGATGTAAGCGGGCCTGGCCTCGAGGAGGCGGGATGTTACAATCCACACCGACATCGCATGCATGGCAGACCATCTTTGCCAAAGTTGGTGCTGAATATGGCCCCTAATCTTTGCCAAAGCATAAAGTTCAGGGGTTCCATTTCACACCAACTGTACTCCCACCACCGAGATCATTCACACGGAAGACCCTCGCCCATGCGATCATCCACATCATTCACATAGAAAACAACAAATCACACGCAACAGTTTGGCTGGGACAGCACAGTATCACACGGACGTACGCCTAGCGGACAACGGCTAGGCGGTAGCGCAGGGGGACAACACCGCCGCGACCGCCATGGTCGCCCTTGCCATCGATCCCCGCTTCACCCCCGCTCCACCCCTCCCTCCATCTCCGCCCCTCTTGCCGACCGCAATGACCTTTGCCACCATCTCCACCCACCTTGCCCGACCCGCCTTGCCTGCCATCCCCGCCTGTGGCGGCCTTCTTGGGATGCGCCATCGGTGCCCGCGTTGAGCTGGGCATGGGGAGTGGGGAGTGGTGGAAGGAGAGGCGAGTAGGGCTTGAGCGTCGGGTGTCGTGAAAGGAGTGAGGTGAGCTTCGAAAGGAGAAGGGGTGGGGGTTTTATAGGCTATTGTGTTGCTATAGCTTTTCTAAGGGTCTACCGCTACTCTATTGTCAATTGTTCCACTATTACCGTTAATGACATTTTAACACCACTAAACATTGCTATTTAATTTAATCACGATATATTTTTAGCACCCTAATCCTGACTGAGGTAGATACTTATTCTTTAGTCTATAAAACTATAATCTATGCCTCTCCCTTTAGGTTCTTTACGTAATATAAATGATGTAATAAGTTATTTAATAATTATTGAACAATTGATTATTGAGTGTTGATCACAACAATATGTTGATCGATATGATAGATGTTAAATAATGTGTTGGAACTAACGGTTCTGAACAGGAGAGAGAGATAGAGGGAGGAGAGAGCTCGATAGTGTACTGGGATGCACTAGGGTTTTGAACAAGTGAAAATGAGTGGGAGGTGAGGTACCTTGCCCTCATGGCCTCATGTCCTTCGTCACTTATATAGGCAATGGCTACTTACAAGTGGCCCCTTGGTGGGGTTGGATTTCACATGACACTACGCTAGCTGATAGTTGGGCCTCTTCTAGGGGGAGATTTGGTCCATATACCTCATGGGCTCCCACAACAATTGCCCATCAACTATGATACAACATGACCTAATAGATGCTCGAACTAGACGAGGCGCAAATAGAACTCAAACCCTGGTCATGAGAATCACCCTTCGCAATCTATGTATGTGCGCCTCACTAAAAACTCCGTCTCAAAAACCCTACATGGGGCATAGAGAAAAGACCACACACACAACTCTAGTCTATACAAGTGCTAACTTAGGAAGCCACTAACTCCAAGTGCCTGGATGTCAACCTCCATGGCATCTTCATATTTGGGCATCAACTTCCTTGGCCACTTCTATGATATGGATTGTTAGCTTCGCTCGACACGTAGATCTTTGCCTCTGGGACCTTCTCAGCATGCAGATCTTTCCTTTGGGACCTTCTCGTTGCATAGATCTTCGTCTCTGGGACCTTCTCAGCATGCAAATCATCGCCTTCGGGACCTTCTCGTCTGAGGCTTCACTTGGAGACACACCTTCACTTCATGAATGGGTGTAGTCGTCATAGTCAATGTACTCAAAGTAGTCATAGCCGAAGGTTGCTGTGAAGCCTCCAAATCTTCTCTAGAGTGTCAGGTCCTCCAGTATGCTCCCCTACCTCCTCTTAGTTGGCGCTTGTGACTGAATATTCAGTTGTGCTTGTTGTAGTTGACGTAGTCATAGTAGCCATAGTACCAGAAGTAGATGTCCAAACCGAAGTTGTCAGTGAGCCCTCGAGACACCATGGTTGAGGAAGGTAAAGTAGACCTCGGTGCCGAACGAATTGATGTAGCCCCTCAAACTAGGCGATGAAGGAAAGTTGTCATAAATGTTGTCGCGAAAGGTGTCGACAAAGGCTCTCGAGCCATTGTAGTGGCCAAAGATGATTGTGAAGCCCCTCCTACCGATGTGTTTGTGAAGATGAGTCATAGTCGCCGAAGATAATGTTGGTGAACCCCCTCATGCCGAAGTGTTAGTGGAGGAAAGTCATTGTGGATGTTGAAGATGTTGGCGAAGGCCCTCGTGCCGAAGGTTTTGACGAAGGCAATGTTGGTGTAGATGCTGAAGATGTCAGCGAAGCCCCTCATACTAAAATTTTGGCAGAGGCATCAAGTTGTTGTACTCACCGAAGATATTCATGAAGATACATTGTCGATGTTGACGTCAGAGAAGCCCCTCTAGCTATTGGCGTTGAAGGTTAGTTGTTGCAGTCATGAAAGATGATGGTGAGGCCCCTCGTGTGGAAGTGTTGGCGTGGGTGAGTCGTTGTAGTCGTTGAAGAGTTGGCGAAGCCCCTCCTGCAGAAGTGTTTGTCGAGAGCGATGTTGGAGGAGCCCATGAGGAATATGGGCCAAGTCTTCCCCTAGAAGAGGCACAACTAGTAGCTAGAGTAGTGTTATGTGAAATCCAACCCCACCAAGGGGTCACTTGTAAATAGCCATTTCCTATATAAGTGCCTATGGGTATAAGGGCAAGCAACCTCAATTTGACTTGTTCAAAACTCTAGTGTGTCCCCCCTCCACCGCCCATATCTCACCTCTCTCTCTCTTCTAGATATATTCATGTATTTGAGTATTTGTGTTCATAATTTTTTTGTCTAGGTAAATGTTTATGTGCATAATTCA